AGATAGATAGATATATGTAGCTCAATAAAGTGTCTCTGTGTTCGCATGTTGACAAGCACAAGTGACCTGTGGTGATCAGAAAAAGTTCCACAGAATAGTAACGTCCATTATGTGCTTTTATTATATTAATACGATACTGTGTTCTCTGAAACTGAATAAAATTCAACGACTTTCCAGCTGCTCAATACAGTCTAAGCACCAAAACATAAGTTTGCATGTCGTGATAGAAGCAGCCGTACAAATTCCGCCCAGTGAAGATGTCGCCGTTCGTTGTCGTCTGCCAATCGCGTCCCTGCACTCGCCCGCTGATGACTTCTGCGTGCACGAGCCAACTGCCTGGCTTCCGATAGGCTACGATCTGAAGTATAAGCTTCAGCTGGGTAGCGACAAACGTTCTTTGATGAATGTTAGGTAAACAGCTGGAGAACAGCCCTTGTCATTGGTCACAGAGGCTCCTGAGAGCACTCTTCCTCCTTCTATAGGAACTCTATCGCTTTATGGGACACACGGAGTTCTAGACTTAGCGAAATTCGTTCATTTTTAAGGCGACCTACGAGGTACCACCTCATGCTTGCACTAGCAATAAGCTGGATTGGTGGAATACGTCCGAAAACTTGTTGTCTTCTAGGATTTTTCAATACATGAACCGATGATTTCCTAATGGGACCAAAATGTAGGTCAAGGAGCTATAAACCCGAGAAAAAAGAAATGAAATCTGCTGTGTACCTGGTCAAGTATGCTCTTGCTCAGCGCTCCCATATCATGGATATATGAAGCCAAGGCATTGTTGATGAATCGTGCCAAATCCGAGTCGCGACATGTGGCCGCCGATAGGGACGTATTGCTCACTCGATTCGCCTGGAATGAAATTTTTTCAGACTTCACAACGGACTTATAAAACATTTCGGTGGCCTGCTCGGAGTTGAAAAAACATCTTCTCCAAGATATTAGAAAAAGTAATCGGTAATAAGTATATAATGAAGCTGCGGAAGAAGAATAATGACATGCAGAAATAACCAGAGCCACACTTTCCAAGCCTTTCAAAGGTAAACGAGTAACTATGTATATAACAGCTACCCACAGCATCTTTCGGCCTCATCCCCACCATAGCAGGGTAAAATTAACAAACGGATACCTCCAAGTCCACGGCATGACTGGATGATGTTGGTGTGTCATAGAGTGCTTCACATGCAGCGAGAGCAACCAAAAGCCACACGACGAGCATTGCTGATCGCTAGATGGGAGGGAAATCACGCTCGACTGACTGTTATAAAGCTCGCCTCTCACCAGATGGCACACATGCGACATGCACTTTGGTCAAGCGACTCATCGGAGTTTACATTCATTGCCTTTGCGCTTTAAAAAATGAACGTGGAATAGAAGTTAAAGAAGTTCAGGAGACTCGTACGCGGATCTGTTGTTTTTCGGTAATCTGCCGTACCACAACTCAGCATTCTTGTGATAACTTTCGCGAACTGCGGCGTAAAACAGCAGTTATCCAATAAAAACAAGTCAAAATGGTAACATCTAGTAAAGCTTTCAGCCTTGCGGTTGAATGCCGAAATCGGCCTAACCGGTTCATCACGTTATACGTGTGAATGCTAAGCTATGGTAACTTCAAGCGGAGTTGGGGTGAAATGGTGCCCCGGTGGTGTAACTGGTAGCACAATTGTTAAGCAAGAGATCCTGGTAGGAATCCCGGCTGGGGTGAAATTGCCTACATTCAGCACTTGTGATAAGTATTTCTGGTTTGGTAAAGACTAAGTGTCAACGCATGGTGAAATTGCCTGCCGGGTGTGTTTCGACTCCGCCGCATTCAAGTACTCGGGCACTACTGACAGCAAGAAAAGAGGATTCACCAATTTTCACGTTTTCATCCAATACTTTTCCTACTTCATATATGCGGTTCCCCATAGGCATTGAAACATTTCAGTGAGAGGCTCACTGATATAACTAGCATTTTCGACCGATTAAGAGATATTGAACAACTCGAGTGGTAGAATCGGTTCTCTCGCAGGACCTATGGTGGATATGTTGGGAGTGCTACGTACGACGATGAGCGGACCCAATGGTAAATCGACGTTTCCCGGTGGTATCCACTGTCTGCGCCGGTCAGAATAAGAAGGGGAACTCTTCATTGTGAGACTGCGGAAGCCCTAGTACACGCACAAGCACATTCTA